GTGTGACGCACAGTATGAATGCAGCTGCGAAATTGCAAGTTTAAAGCTCACAAGTACAGGAGCAAAGCCTTCCCAGAATTGCGACCGACAAATTCTCATCGCAAGGCCGACTCCTTAACCACGATGCACCCTGCAGCTTCTAATATTACCTTAAAGCTGCTTTGATGGAGGAGACAATTAGGTATAGCCAAGTGAAAATACTTATTTCACGCACCAATGTTCATCACTCATATGCTAATGAGAAAGGATTAGGAACCATAAGTGTCACCATAAAAGATAGTGTGCAGGCAGGACTCTGCAGTACCTCCTAATGGTTTTGCAGGTTCACTAGAGTTTAAGACGTTTCCCTTTACCTACTCTATGTCCATAGACATGATCTGGATTCTTCTTCCTCCAGCTCTTCAGTAGGCCATGATATGTGTTCATGATATGAACACATGATATGTGTGATCATCACCCACACCTGCTCTTTTAGTAAAGATAGCAACTGTTGAAAATCACCTCCATAAAAAGCTGCATTATTTATTTATACTGTATTACAGTTAAGACCTGCTGAACCAGCAATATTCTGAGGAATATTCGTTTTTCGGTGCTGGGGGGGACACTTCATACATCACGTTTACTTTGACAAATAAAAACAGTGACATCTCCACCTGAGTCTTCTTGTACATCTCTTACACCCGACTGTCACACATGACAGCGTGGGGCAAAGCAGTAAACTGTTCAGTGGAGCCAGAACTTAGGGAGATCCAAACCTCCAAAGGCAAGAACGCCCCCACAAGTATTAACTCGAGGTGCTTGAATTTAATTATTTATGCAGTGTGCTACACTGGGTCCTAAGATTCATTCAACTCCATCTAATGCAGTAACAGGATGCTTTGTTTTGTGGTTAATATTCAGTTGTTAATTATCCTGATGCATGGTTTCCTGTTTACACCCAAGCTTTTGTTTATAAGACTGCACACAATAAAGATCTCGTTCGCTGTCTGACGGCAGTGCCCTTAAACTGTACCGTTTGGGTACCTCAGGCTCCGTGAGCACCCAGCAAATGCACAACCCTACCAGCAAAATCTACTTAAGGTGCTGCCTCTGTTTCTTTTCCAGACGCTAGCTAGTATCGATTGATAGCTCATTTCGGAAGAAATCCTCTGTCTGGAAGAAAAGCCGTATACCTTTCAACAAAGAAGTACCAGCGGCTATCGACAAACAGCAGACCGAGCCCATGAGGAAAACAATCTGTTGCAATAAGCATGACTGCCTGCAAATGAACCTTAATTCCGCTCGCTCACCCAGCCTATACATTTAACCCTTAAAACACAGCTAAAACACAAACATGTAACCTGCAGCCTTACACTTGAATTCCATATTAAATATTTTGCCCAGGATATCATTTGTGCAGGATGATTAACCATTGCATTTCTGCCTGATGATAAGTGGCATTTTAGTGTCATTACTACAGCACTAGCTAACCACATTAGGCAGCAGCTGCAGGGACCAGTCGCATTTCACATAATGCGATCAGAGGGGCTCCTTCATCCACAGAGCGGACCTGATACCTCCTCAACTCCCTTTAGTGCTTCTTCAGTCTGGAGTCCGTGTTGTGATGCCCAGGTAACTATATCAAGCCACCTAATTAGGTCTTAAGGCAGCTCACCAGTTTGCTTTTCCCTTCTTGATTGATTTGTGGTTCTCAGTGGCTAATTTGTGATTTTTCTGACGAGACAGGAATAGCAAGCAATATTTCCCCCCTTTTTCATCAGCTGCACTTCTTGCCTTTTAATTAGCGCAACTATTAATAATCTTAAGTAACTTTCTTAATAACATTCTCACTGCTGTTTGGCTGCCCGTGTGGTCCCATCCATAATAAAGATGACTGATTCTGATATCCTCCGAAACAGAGGAAATGGCGACATACAGGGGAAAGATCACAACACACAGCATTAATACACCACAGATTGTCAGCAGCATTTATCATGTTACTTCATGGGAATGCCAATCGAAAGACAGCAGAAATGGATACTGTTTTTGTCCAGTAATTGTATTTCTCAGTATGATTCATGACAACACTTTAGCAGTAATTTTTAACAAAATTTACTAAAAAGTGACTCTTAAAACTCATGCTACTATTTAATTTCCAAACATTTTAAATGTCACAGTGGTGGTTTTCGGCCGCATATTTGCAGATTCTATCTCCATTGAGATGAAACATGCAGTCAGATGGTAGACTCAAGCAGTTCTTGCCAGTTGCTTACATATTGCTGGCAGTAAAAAAAAGGACAGTAAATTTAATCTGGCCTGAAGTAGCTAAAGAATTCTCAATTGAATAAACCTCCACAAATGAATGACATATCCCATGATGATTCATGACTGGTACAGATGTACAGACCTGAGCTTCTGTTGAAAACATGATGCAAAATCCCAGGACTAAACCTTTTGAAATCATTAAGTAACATGTCACCAAACAAAGGTTGGAATGTACCGGATCACCAGTTGGAAAATAAGCCTGCTCACAATATCATGTGCTCAGCTAAGCTGAACGACACGAAACCTTTTATCATTAGTAAGCTGACAAGAGTTCAGTTGGAACTTTGTGGGACTGTCAAGCCCCACAGGAAGGCAAAGATGGTCGGGGTGCCGCGGTGGGCTGTAGGATAAATGGTCACCAAGAGGAACCAACAAGCCGTTTGTCCAATAGGCACTGCGAGTACCGCGTAAAGAGAACAGTCCAGATGGGGGTGCAATGGCACCAACACACAGGCACAAACGACACGCAGAGGCGTGCAGACCTTAGGGTGAGGCAGAGGAGGAGCACTCCTCCAGGCTGACTGAGGCAAGCAGACTTGGCTGCCTAACATTTTGAGAGAAACTGCCTCATTTGTTTCTATGGAAACATGCCTGCAAACAGTTCCACTCCCCTCAGGTCCAACCTGACCTACCACTCACCGCCCCACACCCTGCATCACACATGAAGATCTACACGCACTGAAGTTGCTTTGACAACACAATCCACTGCACATTAGTTCTATTTTACAATATCTCTAATTCTGTAGGTCAACATAACCCCGATCATTCTCTATGCAAGAGAGATCCTGTTTGATATATTGGTTAACATATAGCAAGGGAGGCTAATGCTGCATTCCATTTGAACTAGTTACTAGTCAGAACTTTCAACTGGGACGCCCCCTAAAGTTGGAGGAAGCTCTGCAACCCCAACCTCAGGATTCAAGATGGCTGCACCCTTCATCAACAGAAGTGAAAACTGTAGTTACATACTGTTTATCACTTATGTCTTATTTGTGGCTTATTAAATTGGTCGTACACAGAGTACTGTCCAACCACTGCCTGTGAACATGTTGCTATGGTGTTTGAATGAGCAAAATACCATGAAATGCATTGTACAGGCTGGAGTTAATGAGAAATGAGAAAAATAAATGAGAAATGAGTGAAACTGAACATTTTGCCACGGTCTCTTAATTTTATCCAGAGCTCTATAATAAGATTAGTCTGGGTTTGGGGTGCTATATGATATCTTTTCTCGGGGTACAAAATCTGTACCAGCACCCCTGAAGATTAACAGTTTGAGGGAAAAAGCCACAGTTACCTGACTTCAGCATCAGAAAAATTTCAACATGAAAAATGAAAACTGAACAGACGGGCCTTATCAAGGCTGCAATCATGTTAACAGAGACCTCTACAGCACTTAAGAAGGAGATCCTTTCAAGGGCCTCTATTCATCACGAGGTTGATGAATGATTTGACAAGTTGGGCAGCCAGCAAAATACAGCAGGAAAATTCAATAAATTAAAAAAAGAGGACCTGTTTCCTGTGTTTCGGCCCAGGTACAGAATATTCTCTTAGTTATACCTTTTTCCTGGTTCAGCATTACCCTGAACAAGGCGGCTATTGTTAACGGTCAGGAAATTATCAGATTTCACTTGGAGAAACCATATCCTTCTGAGGACAGGGCGTGGAGGTGTGCAGGTCATGCATGTGGTGCAGTGCACCGACATGTTTCTGAACGACAAAGGTGCAGGCAGAAGTTGGTCGGGGGGGGGGTATCTGAGGTTCCCGAAAAACACCGAGCAAGACTGAGCATGCTCATAACATCAGTGCCATAACGACCATCATCCATGTGTTCAGCCAAAACTCTACAGAGAGCTTGAGCTCCCTGTCCTCTGTCAAACTTTTTTTTTAAATGATTCCCAAACACATTAAGCACCAAAAGTGACACAGTGGGCTGTGTTTCAATCTTATACTGAGTCCCACCATTCAACAAGTTGGCACTACATAATTAATTCCTTATTATTTTGCCAGGTCTACCTCATTTTGGGAGTGAAATTACATTTTTGAATTTAACATACTACATTAAATCAGCATCACAGTAAAACAAAACCCACAAAATGTGCAGACTAAGTTTCAAATAAATGCCACTATTACCTGATTTTAGTGGTAGAGCAAATTCAGTATAAACTACGAATACTGGAATGGAATACATCAGCAGGTGATTGAACACACTGCGCTAATCAACACTGCAATAATGATAAACGAAACATCTGATTCTCCGAACATCATTGTTGTAATATTATGCACAACTTGTAAGCTGAGTTGCATGCAAAAGGTACGTTGGTAAATAAAATCCCCAGGCTTGATATAATTCTGTGGATTGAATGCCCTGTGAAAGGCGGATTAAGTGTTGGGTGCCAGGGTTGTTATGGAAAAAAGTAAGAAAGCACATGTTCACGTATAAGCTGAACAACCCAAAACACTATCCAAGGGGCTGTACAACGAAGTCAGATTTCTTGGCTTAGCCGGATAATTGTCGGATTTAAGGTAGACTACCTAAAGCCCGACAGGTTATCCAGAAGCAAGAAACCCTGCTTCGTGATACCGGCCCCAGGTCCCACATTTATCCTTCCCATTCATTGCGCGTTTTCTCGCTGACGTGTCCTGCCTCAGCATTCGTGAGATAAGCGGCCCCCGTGCGATACTGATCGGCATACCTCTGGAATGCGGGAAACCCGTCTTCTGCCGCCACCCAGTGAACAGCAACCAGTACGGCATTTGTTCGCGTCTGACTCGCAAACTTTTCCTTCTAGGGACAGTTACGGATCGGGTTTGCTCATCTGGTGCGTGGAAAAACAGAAAATACAAGTTCACGCTTCAGAGTTGATCTTCATTTATGCGCAGTGCAGTTGAGATTTCACAGTTACCTTCAGGAAACTAGTTCACAACAGCGCGTTAAATGCTGCACTTTTTAAAAATGTAGTTTAAATTATTATTTTTTTTAACTTTGCCAATGTAATTTAAATAAGGAGGCATGTTTTAAAAATAAGAACATTAACTCCAGGATAACGACTATAGCTTATATAACCGTTGTTCCAAACACCTGTTGAATACTTACCCTTTTGGGCAATATTAAAACAACAGAAACTGCAGACTATATTTTTAATGATGGTGTCAGTATAAAACCCTGTGGTTTGAGTCAGTCCCGTTTGAAACCTAGTAGCACTTAGTCCGTGCGCCTCCGCCCTATACTCAAGCGCGCGCTGCGTGAGAGCTTAGCGCCTTAATGGAGATTGTTAGGAGAACTATTTATTTATAGGGATTTCCACCTAAACCGCCAGAACTCGGAGTTCCTACTTTGTTCACAGTGATAAAAAATTGAGGCGTTTCCTTTTTTATGCAGATAACTTACACTTTCAGTATGGGAAAATCACTACACGCGTGACATTCTTATTTAAAACAGAATGATGTAATTATTCGTCGGAAATATATATATAGAATTCTGTGTTTAAATAAACTTTCACCATTGGAAATGATAAAAAGGTTGAGCTGCTCAAACCACACCCACTCGATAAGACTCGGCGCAGCTCACTGCTCGGCACAACAAAAGACTTGACGGGAAAAGTCAAATTGATCTCCTGTAGTAAACGGTCTGGGCTTTACATTTTATTCCAACCCTTAATTATCGGACGGCCGTCCAGGCTGAATAGAGCGCCAGGGAGCCCGAAGCATGTCGGACACGCGCTCCTTCAAGTCCGCGCAGATCAGCGCGCGCCGGCCGGAGACTTTAGACACGAGCCTGGCGCTGCCGGCGGAGGAAAACATGGCTGTGCTGCACGAGAAGGCGCCCGACAGGAACGCGCGAGTCCAGGAGCAGGTGCGACTGACCCTCGCGCGGAAGAAAAAGGACGCGATTTCAAACGGTAGAGTGCGGCCGCCCTTATCGAGAGCTGTCAACTTTCCTGTCAAATATTTTTTAAAAAAAGAATTAGAAACAGTTCGCTCTAAAACAGGAGTGGTAAACGTCAGGTAAACGTTTCAAAAAAGGTAGTTTTCAGGTTGGTAAGTTTCTCACTTTATGTACTCTGACACAGTAGGTATGTGACGATTATTTAAAATTATCTAGAAAATAATATACGGACGGGGATAGGTTCGTCTTGACCCATGCAAAGAGCGTATGTTTCTACAATACATGTATCATCCATTCATCTTTTTAAGGGCCATTACCGGAGTCTCGCAGGTTCAAATAGTCCCCCTGTCAGTACCTGTTTCCCCTGTCATTGCGGTACACAAGTAACAGTACAGACCAAAAACATAAATGTTGATCTCTTGCGGTTTCTGACAATTAGAAAGCAAAATTTGTTGGCAAAACTTATTACATGTAGAAAGCTGTCTTAAAAATTGCTGGATCTTGGGGAAAAAAACCACCCCAGCTCTGGCCTAGAATAAATGGGGCAACGCTGATATTTAATTAATTGATTTAACTTGCATCTAGTGCAAAAAAGTTAATAGTGTATTATCAAGTGGAAGTTTAAGTTATTTCTGAATAATGAACATTTAAGGGACAGTTTTTGGTATGAGATACGTTTCTTTGATAATGTTACTAGACGTTGCAGCAGTTCTACACCTGGCAACTAGCCAGAACAAGCCTGGCTGTGTGCCTCCAGTTGTCCAAAGTGTATGTAATCGCTGCTGTATCCTCTTGGCTGGGTGTACCATTATCAACCCATACTTGCATGCAAGAATGTTGCTTGTGTAAGATTTAACGCGAGGGATTACAGTTATATAGTTTCATGCCACTGCCAGGAACTAAATATACATAGAAAGTAAGCTACAGTAAGCTCCAGAATTTGAAAAGCTTGTCTGTTATGTACCACACACATGGATAATTAATTTACTGTCAAGAGATGTAGGCTTGTTTTCATTCTAGAATAGAATGGCCGTAGGAAATCGCATTTTAAGTGTGTGAGAAATATTACACTTTAAGAATCAGCCGTGGGAACGCTGATATTTAAATCACATGAATGTGGATTTTAGTAACAAAAGTTAATAATATTAAATCTTTGATTTAAGTAAAGGTGCACTTTTATTTTGTGACCTGTCCTGTAGCTTTCTGGGAGCTCTGTAACATGTATGTCACTTGCATCTCACGTGTACATGTATTTCACACAACATGAGAAATTATTTGTCTTCACATAGAGCTGTCTGTTTTCTTAGGCAACATCTACTCCCAGGATTCTACATTTGACTCGGGAAAGGGACTTCAGTACTCAGTGATGGTAAACTGCATTCATTACTGCTTATGTGTGTTTGTGGTGGGCAAGGTGAGACAGGGTGGAGTAGGGTGGGGCGGGGCAACTACTATAGCCAAAGTATTATGGCCAACAGATTGCTAGTGACTCAGAATTGCCGTTTGTATGTAACAGTATGTGTCTGAATTACCTTGCAGTGTACAGGCATCATGTGTAAGGTGTATCTAGTACCTTTCCAAATGACCACCAATCTCTAGGTGGTTGTTGAAAATCAATGCATACATGATAGTGAGGGTCACATTAGTGTGCTTCCCGATAACAGGTTTCATTATTCTGTGCATGGCATGGCTATGTGTGCATCAGCTGGTACAGTACCTGAGTATATACCGTGTTTCCCCGAAAATAAGCCCTAGCATGATTTTTCAGGATGCTCGTAATATAAGCCCTACTCCAAAAATAAGCCCTAGTTACTATCCCATGGATTGTACAGTAACTAGAATGAGATGCGATTATATGTAAACAGGAAACAGGAAATAATATATGAGTGCAAAAAGAAAAAGCTGAGTTGCGAGATATTCAGGATGGAATTTGGAGCTTGGAGATTTACGATGATGTTCCAGAAGCAGATGACATGATGACTATATTTGAATAAATGTATATTCAGTAGATTTTTGCTCATGAATAAATGTACCGTTAGATTGTATACTTGGAAAGATATGGTTAGAAGATGACATGATGTCTGTATTTGAATAAATGTGGATTTTTGTTCATGAATACCAGTAAATGTACTGTAGTTTGTTGTATATGGGAAAATAAGACACCCCCTGAAAATAAGCCCTAAAGCGTCTTTTGGAGCAAAAATTAATATAAGACCCTGTTTTTATTTTCAGGGAAACACAGTAATAACGTGTTTGTCTCTTCAATATAGTACTTGGAAAATGGCCTTAGTAAACGCATGTGCAATGGGGTTGGGGTAGCATTTTAAAAAGTCAGACATCTCTGAAAATGGTCATAAACTGGTTTGCAAAGGTCTGGACACCAGGTATACAAATTAATGTCCAATTTTATTGCTTATTGGAAACTGTGATTTTTTTTCTTTGTAATAGACTATTGTGGAGAGTGACAGGCTTTGCAATGTAGAAGTTGTGTAACTGTTGAATAATAATGTTCTTATATGTTCACTGTTAAAGTTAAAAAAAAATACACCAGAACGAGTTGGAAGTTAAAGGGTTAAATCCGTTTTAGCAAACTATTGTTTTCCTTTTTGCTATTAAGTATCCTGGTTTCATTTTGTACCCCAGCAATGGTTACATTTGATAAAAGGTTGTAGCATTGTGAAACACCTAAAAAAAAAAAACTTCATTTTTTAAATTTCCTATTCATGATGAACTTAAGTCACACACTGAACTAAAGAGTTCCTGTCCTAGTGTGCTATTGATGGGTTGCATACTTTTGGAATACGTTCATCTGTCTCAACACGGTCTCATAGTTAGACATTGAATTTAGAGCACTTAAGAATTTTTCCTGAAAACTTGGTTAAGGCAGAATAATGACAAATATAGAGACCATTTAAAAACTCTGATTTGAGAACCTGTAAGTTGGCCTATTAAATGGGAAGACCAAAGCTTAAACAGTAAAAATAATCAACCCATCTGCTCACAGTGAGCATGAAAGTAAGTGTTTTGTAAGTCAACAATGTCTATATTTGTCCAATATATATATATATATATATTGAATTATCCAGGGTAAAATATGCTACTGGAAATATGACATCCAGAACATGAGAAGAGGCATCAACCAGGGAGAGTGTCAGCATCCTCCTTACTGTGCAGCATGGTGATAGAAGGATGATGTTATGGGGACTTACACCAGTGCGGATTGAGAACGCTACAAATGAAGAGGAAGCTGGTCATAAAACCAGCTTCCCCCTTCAGCTGCATTTGTAAGAAGTAGAGTGATTATGGATGATTTCTGCATAATGACCATTCATATTGACCTTGTCTGACATTACTTAAGGGGACAGAAATTACCGCCTATGGATGCGTGAACCACTGGAGCTATTTTTACAGTCTTAATACGTCAGCATTTATTGTCCTGCCTGATTCTTTTGACTCTCTGTCTGCCTGGTATTTTGTTGTGCTGGGTGAACCATGTTTTTCCTAAACTCTCCCATGTGATCAAATATGCTCTCAGTAAAATCCCAAATACTATTCTGCAAGCTCACTTCACCCGTTCTGCTTACTGCAGATAACTCATTTTTTGTATCATATTCTTGAAAAATACAGCATGTACCTATACATGTTGCAGAAATTCAGTTACTGCTTCTTACTAAATCAATAATGTTTGCTAAGTCACTTGTTAGTTAAAAGTATCATGGCAGATGCAGTCTTTTATTTCAGATGTTAGTGAAGGTACTGGTAACTGGTGTGATCTTGAATTCTTGTTTTCCTGTTAAAAATAAGATAAAAAAGAAAGTTTATACATTGTAAATTAATTTATTTGGTTATTATGCGTGCTAGGAAATGGATTAGGCAACTCGTAGACTGACTGGAGAGTACTTCACTCAGATGGACGTGGAAGTTCACAAACTACACTTCCCCCTTACTTTCTAATGCACAAGATACTTCAGATGTTGGTGAAATTCAGCACTTATTCATATGTCACATAGTCTTCAAAATGGAACAGTAGATAACCAGTTTGATTTTGTATTGCTTTTTTTTGACAGCTATATTAAAAGGTAGTCAAGGCCAGATTGCGTTCATATAAAAAAGTGAAACTGAGGTACTGTACACCACCCCTTCCTCCATATTTCCAATGTAGAACTTGTGGGACAGGAGGTGCATTCCAGCACAGATAGCAGGGATTCCAGCAGCGTGTCTGGCCTACAGATTATGGCAGGGTCTGTACAAGAAGGCAGCAAGTCTGCACCTTTGCCAAGCTTCTTGTTATGAAAGAAGAAATGATGCCAGTAATGTGAGGGTTCTGACTGTACCCTTAAGGGCAAACAATTGGATTCTTAACACTGATATGTCATATTGTATTGAGGTTCTCCATTTTGCTGGTTTTCAAATTGTTACTTTTTGTGTTTTGTTTTTTTTATTGCTTCTCTGAAGATATATTTTTAAAAACATGTAAAGGTCTGACCTGTCATGCTGACATGCTGAAGTGTTTGTTCACATGTGATTCTTTTAAAGGCGCAGTCTCCTTCGCATCTAGGATCAGTGGGAATGTACAGCTTGAAGAGGCTGACGCGCAGTGGAGAAATGTCCCCCAAGTCAAGCCCTCTCCTGTCCTATGGCACACTTTTTGGATCGCAGAACTCTGGAACAGGCTGTCAGGGAGCCTACACTCTACCTGCAGCCAGAAGTTTCAAGCATCACACTCGCTCAGAAATGCCACTCAGCCAGAGAGTACAGGCCCCTCCTCAGACAAACCAGAACAAGGGCAGCCTGCACAGATCTTACAGGAAACAGAGATCCCTCCTTGGTCAGCAACAGGCAGGCAGCCTGTCCCTCCTGACTGCAGGCCGAGGGAAAGGCATGGACCAAGGCAACAGGCAGCACTCCTGTTCGGCTTCATTTGCTAGCGTGGAGCTGGACAGTCGGGTGGGACAGGCAGGCAGTATGAAGGCTGCTGCCCTGCTAGGGAACCAGAATGGTCGGCAACAGGCAGGCAGCCTGTCCCTCCTGACTGCAGGCCGAGGGAAAGGCAGGGACCAAGGCAACAAGCAGGACTCCTGTACGACTTCGTTTGCTAGCGTGGACAGTTGGGTGGGGCAGACATGCAATATGAAGCCCGCTGCCCAGCTGGAGAACCAGAATGGTCGGCAACAGGCAGGCAACCTGTCCCTCCTGACTGCAGGCCGAAGCAAAGGCATGGACCAAGGCAACAAGCAGGAGACCTGTACGACTTCGTTTGCTAGCGTGGACGTGGACAGTCGGGTGGGACAGACAGGCAGTATGAAGGCCGCTGCCCAGCTGGGGAACCAGAATGGTGTTTGTGTAATGAAAGGGCGGTAAGGGCTTCATGAAAAGTACATTTTCTTGTTGCTCTCTGAGACTGAGGTGATGGCTTCAAGGGTGTGTCCTTTACCCTACTAACATGCGATTGGCTCTTATGCAGGAAGAGCCAATCAGCACTGACATTGGAGAGGGCCGTGAACCAGCTCTCCCACACCGACACAGACTTGCAGGTTTCTGCTGCATATTTCATCCAGCACCAATGCTTCATCAGTAGATGGTGTAAGAACAAGGTAAGTCAAGCACCAGGATAACAAGCAAGAGGGTCTCTGAACCAGCATGACACAGAGCTCCCACAGTGTTGGCACTGGGTCCGTCAGTGTTAACTCTGACAATCTATCCACAGCAATGCAGTAGTGCAAGCTTCTGGCTCAGGTCATCCTGACAATGTAGTCTCAGTTGGAGGCCTGTTCAGACAGGAGACGGATTCCTTTGCTGTCCCTGGTGAAAAGCCACTTGTTATTTGACCGGCTTTCAGGCAGAAGACCTAGAGATAATTCCATGTAAACAAGGCACAAAACATAACAGACACAAAAGTTGACCCAACTTCAGAATTACTGTTGGCCCTTGCAGACACGTAAATTGACATGGGCCCCAACTTTGCTGATATTCTTCAGAATGTCATTTCTTTCACTGTTGTTGATCTGCAGCTGCTGCTGCTGCTACATGGAGATCTTCACCATATAAACATGCCCCTCATTTTTGCCTCTGATTGTAATCCCGCGTCTTCATTAAATCAAGCCACATGATTTGGCAGTTCTGTCATCTTGTACAGCAGAAGCTGTGCCCATAGTCATCCATTTCATCATAGAGATTGACAACTTTAAGGTTTACCCTAGTTCTGAACTCTGGGTAACATCTGGCTTATCTTTAAAACTCCCCCAAAGATGGATGTGAAAACCCAGATCCTTGCTGACAATGCTGTTAATCCTACGCATAGCCTGTTTTGCCCTCTGTAATATATATGAACTGCATCCTTCATCTCTCTGTGTGACTCCAGCTACTTCTCCTCGGCGGCATTCCCAAGCTGCTCAAAGTACTTCAAAGTGACAATGAAGAGCTGCAGAAGGCTGGCATCAGCGCGCTGCGCAATGCTGTTTATGAGGACAGTAAAAACAAGGAAGAAGTGAGGGATCAGAATGGCATTAGAACCCTGGTTAGCCTGCTACACAGCAACAGAGACATAGAAACAAGGGTGCAGCTCACAGGTTAGTGGGCTGAGACAGGGGGCCAACGGGAGTGACCCATTGGTGTGGGGTGGAAGCCAATGGAATGCCTTAAATTCCAGATCCAGGTAGTTCATCATAATGCTGCTTTCAATCATTGTTTTTTCACTACAGAAATAGTTTCATAATTTATTTGTGGTGTTAGTATCAGCAAAACCATGTTTGTGGCCCTTGTGGGTCAAGCTGAAGATGTTCCCTGAAAAGCTACACTCTTCTAACCCAGGTTTGCTGTGGAACCTATCATCCCACGACTGTCTGAAGGATCAAATCTCCAAAGAGGGCCTAAAGATCCTTACGGAGTCCATCATTGTACCCTGCTCGGGTATTTCTGAGGGGGAAAATCCTAAAAACGACCTCCTGGTCCACCCAGAAATTTTCTATAATGCTACAGGCTGTCTGCGGTAGGTAGTCTGCACCAGGACCTCATCATCAAAGGGTGATTTGTCCTTCTAAAGCTGGTGTCTCCTGCTGATCATGATAGTAGCCTGTGAGCAGGAGTCTCCTTGCCCCATTGCAGTGACGATGGAGAAAGAATAATTTAGATTTGAGCATTTTACAGATAAGTCACTGGATTCAGTCAGCCCCTCCTTAGGGCAAGACTTTGGTAGAGAACAAAGCAATGTGTTTTTAGGCCATCAGTGTGAGCTCTTTCTGCCCTGGGCAGAGCAAGGTACAGACATGATGAAGCACAGATAATGGGGTACAGACAGTATGAGGCACAGATAATGGGGTACAGACAGTATGAGGCACAGATAATGGG